ACTTTTGGATATAACTTATGTTTAAACTTCAGGAATTTTCGTTCCTAAAAAAATGCCATAAACTTGAACCGAATATAACGCTTCTCTGTATGCAACCAAATTCTTCACCTGCTGGACTGAACGCCACATCACCTTTCTTGAACTATTGTAAAACCAGTTAATTTAGGCCAGCATAATGCAATGAAATTTTAAGTAGGGGGTTGGCCTCAAATATAGAGAAAGGGAACCGTACTATCCTAATAGTAATTCCACATTTATTTAAAAAATCTTGGCTGCTTTCTGCAAATGCATAGCTGTAATGAAAATATATTCATTATATTTCAACGCAAAACCTAAATTTAAATTATTTGACTACACTACAGATTCATTCCCAGATAACCATTAAATCACGATTTATGCATGTTTGATGTTTAAATTTTTAAAAAAAGATGATTGCCTGACACACATGAGTCGAACAATTTTCAGGAGAATCACAAACAATAGCGGTTGTTGGGCCGTGCGTGCATTACGTTTATAATAACAATGGTGGTGGTGATTTTAATTGATAAAGTTGTTTCGTTCGAAGTCAAAATGAATCGACTAATTCTACAATCTTATTTAAGTGAGCATAGCATTGCGATTCTGTCAGACTGGAGTCTAGGCTGCTGCCAAGGGCGACTTTGTAACCAGAGATTGTTTCTGCAGAAACAAATTCTCTTCTATAAACAACCCCAAAAGTGCATGTGATAACTGACTATTCTACTTCTGCCAACTACTCTCCCATATTTCTAAGTGAGGGGCTGGGTTTCGGCACCGTCAATCAACGAAGCAGGTACCTGAAACTTAAAATACACTTCATGAAAGACATTTAAGTTTAATCCATTGCTGGTGGTTACTCACATCTTAAGCCCTCATTGACTTTTCTCGAAGAGCCGTGGCACGGATTCTGTGGATTCATTCTTGCCGAATTTTGACATTATTAATTACGAATGCCAGATGCTACGATGACCAGCACTAGTTTATAGGAAGCGTCTTAAGCATTAATTTTATGGGCCATGGGAAAGCCTAAATCGCTATTTAGTTGTAAATCAGAAAAGATAAAATAAGCTAAAACTGAAACCAAAATGACTGATTTATGTCATACTTTAAATCTACACAGACTTACTTTTGCAAATTATGAACTTGTTGGTGTTCGTGCATTTAAAACTGCGTGTGTCCATACGATGAAAAACATGTATACTAAATTTCCTGCACATTTACGATATCATTAGCGCTCTGTCAATTAATGCTCTAACATTTACAAAGGTGTCACAATAAAATTTAAAACAATTCAGGAGTATAGTGATTCAGTAACAATTTAAAATTACAAAAGGATTTTACAGCCTAGATGTTAATGACGATCGAGAGACAAACAGAAACGGAAGATTTCTTTTTACGATTACAACTTAAAGGTCTGACGATGGTATTCAGTGAGTCCTTACGATCACATGGAGATTATTTTTGTTGTAGATCAGGCGGTGGATGCCTGTACTATGGACTTTGACGATAAGCATGCTGCTGGTGTCAAGATGATTTTAAGAGTATATGTTCAGTAAAAGGAAAAGCATCAACAACGAAATGTCATTAAATCGTATTTTACATGTCCTTTTATTTTTTACATTCACAGTCGCTAACATTGTTGCGTAAACATCGTACTTCAAAGTACTTTAAATACGTACGAATGAATGAGAAACATACCGATGGAGGAATTTGACTGATACCGATTTGAGGTACAAGATTGCAGAGTATAATCTACGCCGTCACGAGCATTCATTTTCTAGAGAGTGCAACATGCGCTGCAGTTGTGCTCTTTCGCCTTCCCCTCACAATCATTTTTATAGCCCACACACTCACTGTGTTTACAGGTTAGGGTGAAGAACGTTAGCTCAGATCTACAAATCCTGAGTTGATCAAAGCCCATTAATTAAACAATTGTTCTGCTGCAATTTAGATTATTTAATTTGCTTTCACTTTGCATGATTGCGCAATATTAGAATAAACTCTGAGTTTTATATGCTTAGATGGGTCGATCTTTGGATCCCAAGTCAGTTTAAGTTAGTTAAAATGGTTAAGCCATAGTTTTATTTGGAATCAAGCTTCTGCCCTGTGCTTTCTTACATAAAATTAAGCCTTTATGGTGTACCATATCAGTATCGCAAGCTTGTCAGGATCTCGGAATCACTCGTCGAACAGCATGGAATTGTGACGAAGCACTAAAAGTAATTGGCCACGACCATTAGTCACCCTCTAGGCAGGACTAAGAGTTAGTGTATGCATGTTAATATAGAACATTTGAAAAACCACTGAGGGTTCGCACATAACATAGCGATGCACACACGATTGATTGGTCAGATTGGACTCAAGTAAAATCGGACGAAGATAAGGATTACACATGCAGGTAATAAATTCGTCTACCAAGTAATTTCCCTATATCACGGAAAATTAGCTAGCAACAAACAATTAGCGATGCTTCCTTTGATGGATTTGAGTGTGATTGAAATGTAATTCCAACGAAGCGTGTATATGTTCTTGGGAAATGCTGTTTCACGTTTAAAATACAGCCTCGGTTCCTAAGACATTGCCTTATGTGTTCTTACGGCCTTCTTTGACCTCATGATATTGGAAATGCTTTGAATTTTTCGGATCACAAGCGCTTAGACGTCCAGCGGATAGAAGTAGACATTGGAGCCTGTCCGCTTATTTAATTCAAAATAAATAATTACACAATTTACTTGTTCGCTTAAACGCTTTTAGTTTTTTCAGGCATTGGGCTGACACAAGACGTCTTCATAATGTTAGTGGATTTTTATAGCAGTCATTGTTTTTGTGTTTGGATAAGCGTTACATTGCTTGGGCAGTTTTTTTATTAATTGTACTGCATAGACTGTGATCGATTTTTAGATCGTGGTACGAACAAGTGAAATTGTAGAATAACAAAATTTGACAAATACACTATATTACTCCTCAAGCTGGCCATCCGGAGCTCGTGTAGCAGATGCTAAAGCATCCGATGTACGTATTTGACCTCTCTCCACCAGGTTTCAACATTTTTCGCCCACTTTAAAATCAAATGTGTGACATAGCAGTCCACGATGATAAAGTTACCAAGTAGTGGAATAGAAACTACTTAGAAATCAGAACATAAAACTATTTTTAAAACAGGTTTGACAAATTAGCGAAGTATGTAATATTGATTGAAGTAAACTTGGTCTTGTGATTGTGAAATTGAATTTAATCGGAGTTCACTACAATATCGACCATACAAGTTTTGATTAAAGCAAGTCAGAAAAACACATTTTACCCCTTCTTGCATTTTTGTGGATTATAGTATGCTTCATTAAAGTTTTACTTGGTGCCTAATAGACACTCAATTCACAATACGTGTCTATGATTGTTCAAGATGACCAAAACTACCAACCTTGTAAAACCAAGAATGAATTGTACTTATTCCATGCAACAAGATAAATGTTTGAGTGTTTCTTACAAAATGCATATGCATGATAAGAGAAAGCCGTTCTGATGCTAAACATCTGTTGATGACGCTGAAGCGCTCTGTTATTCAAAGATCAACGGAGGGAAAAACACTCATGATAAACGACCTAATTTTCAGACGACCCCTCACAATAATTTTATTTTGTTCAGCAAAATTAACGTTACGGTTGGTCCTGGGGGATAGATTTAATATTTTAGTGCAGTAGCTTAGTTTATTTCGAAAACTAGAATTCCTAATATCACAGGAACCATTTTTTTTAGTAGATTCGTCTCCTTAGAATAAATATTGGAAGATTTCTTTAACTTCATTTGCATAAATCTGGTTTACCTATCATTCATGAGTTTTTAGGGAAGGCCGAAAGTAAAAATCACTTTAGTTACATAGGAGATGTGACACTATTTTAAGTAATCAGACGTCAAGCCACAACGGGACAAAAAGATGGAGTATTTAAAAGGCATGTCATTATGCTGCCATTTTAACTAAAGAGATTGTTAATTTTAGCTGTTCATTTTAAAGTGGGTAACAAGATTTTTGGGGTAGTAATTTATTTTACCATTGGAGGTTTTGAAATTGGACGGAAAACGACTAGATTGTTTGTCGGTTTTTTAAACGGTCAATAAAAATAACTGTGCCAACATAATCTTTAAACGATAAATATCAGAGTAATCAGGCGTACTGATAAGCGAATCAGTTTCTTGCTTTTTGCTAAATGTTTGAAAGTCCTGACATGCAGTGGTTTGATCCCATGTGAAGAATAATTGCATCGTGCTGGTGACTAGTGCTTTTTTGTGAGGCATTCTTAAGAAAGTTTGTAAATGTTCCTTACTAACTCTTCTCGATTATTTAAGTTCTGCCGGGCTTAGTCTTTTACCCTCCCGACTGTTATGCACACATTGCTATTGCATATTTGCTGACTCACACTGCCTCGCAGACCTCGCTGTATGGTCTTTTCAGCATCTACTTTTTTAGTTCTGTGGTACTGATAAAAACAAAGTCGTAAATCAGTATTATTAGTCACTACACACTTGAGTCTCTAAGACGTTTAGCTGTGGGTTGAATACATATATGCATATCACAGAAAACACAGCAAGTACTCTTGCTTTAGTGCTTCGTAAACATCAACTTTAATTAGCATTTTACAAACGAAAACAAAACAACACCCGTTTTGAAGAACAAAGTTAAGTTTTGCTGTTTGAAAAAAAAATTAATCACACTCGTATGTACACCTGAATTTGTGGATTAACATGTTCAATTTAGTTTCAAAAAGGAATGTTTTGAATTTTTACCCGTTTATGTATTTACAGGTGAAATAAATTTTGATTTACTTAAAATAAAACCCAAATCTAAACTAACGTGGCTTTGATTAAAACTTTGACCTATCATTGCATCCCTCTTATTTCGAAGTAACGCTTGAGCAAGAATGAACTGGAAAAACGCATGAGCTCACTGCGCTACGCGTATATGGTGATTTGGTATTAAAATTCTGATTTCATTTGTTGGTTGTTTTTGTCTGTGTAAGGACAATCGCTTTAGCTTCGTCAATAGCAGAGTCCATTTCATCGATGAAGGTCTTCAGCTTGCGGTTGGTAATGAGCAGGTGTTCAATTTCCATCTGCATTGCCGCAAAGCGCTCCTTCTTCATTGCTCTCGACTTCCGTGAGGCGACATTGTTCCGCTGCCTTCGATCTTTTTCCTTTTCCTCGGCGAAATTGCACTGAGTCGTGGAGGACTGCAGTTCACAAAGCCCACTCTTTGTCGTGGTGCTAGTGGACAAAGCCACACTGCACTGTGCTCTTCCATCTGCAAAATTTCTCCATCTTGACGGATTCTACACACCACGAAAAAAGCAAACGTAACGTTAGCCTTGACTGTGTGTCCAGTAGTGATTATGTGTGCCACCTATACATGCAAAAACTGTATTGACATGTTCAATAGGTTGTGAGTTAGAACATTACTGATTTTTCTGGTATTGAATTAGTTATCAATGGCAGAATAGTTAGGTTATTTTCTTGCTACCTTCATTACATCACGATGCAGACCAAAATAGTTTACGTTGTAATGAGGCAACTTCAGCTTCGGTAATTTCCATGGGTCTGTTATATCTAGTATTGATTTTAAAAATATCCCAGTATAGTCATTAATTTAATCCTGCCAAAGAAACAATTCTTTTTGTCTGATTTTTTTAAAATTAGTTATTAATCTATTGCCGAAATTCAGATTTAAACGAATTTACGAACTGTGTATAAGGTGAGTACTTGTTTAGTGGGTCGATCGGTTTCGTCCTGTTCCAATTCTACTTTTAAAACAGATAAAACAGTATTTACGTCAACAATTTCCACGAACTGCTCCATTAATGTGTTCTGTTGCAAGAAAATTTCCTCCCATTCTGGTCTGTTTGCAAGATCTTCGAGGGAATTCGAGGAGAAGAAATCGTGTATTCGAGGACTGTCCAGTGGTGATTGGATGTCTTCTTCCTCCGGTCTAGTGTCTTCCATTGGTTCTGTCTCCACAGCAGACTGTAAGGTCGTGAATTTTTCCAGCTCAATTAGCGCTGCTGAGAGTGAGTCCTCCGTTTCGTGTTCTGATAGCTTTTGTGAGGTTGCAGTTATGTCGATTTCCTCAATTGGCTTGATCGAATACAGGTAGGGAGTAAAATCTGAATTCGTTTTGATAGCTCCGTCTGGTTCTGTTAGTGTAATATCTGAAACAATCTCAGGATAGCAGTTATGCGGCATGCTTTTAAAGCTCGAATCCATTGTTTTTTCAAGAAATTCGGCTGTTTGAAGGGGTGTGAGTACCGCCTCGTTTTCGCTAGCAAAAGTAGCCTTTTTGACCAGCCTAGTCAACCGTTCTAAAAAATAAAAAAAGTATCGTTGAAGACAGATAAACAGTGCGGTTCAGTTAATTACGATTGTCCAATGATTTACAACATTTGGTAATGATTGGCGCTACAAACTGGTAATTATCACAAATTACTCGATGCACAGGTTTTAGTTTCTCGGGTCGAACAATGATGCTTAAGGTATCTGCAATAAGTCAACAATACCACAGCTTCTATTGACCGCCACCTATGATTGATAATTGAAGTACAACTTTTCTTTCGTGAAACAAATGATCCTTTCAAGCTGCCTCTGTATGAACTTGACATGGTATTGAAACCAATTAAGTGTGTAAGAGCTGCTATTTCTCGACGTTAAAGTATTGTTTTGCACAGCTATCGCACAATGTGTCTTTAAGGTTTATAGCCGCTCTAAGGAATAAATCTAGATTGGTTGATCAAGCGAATCCTTAATTTGCTTTCGTGCTCATATCAAACAACATATACCCATTAGAATCACTATACAACATCCAATGCGCTGTTAAGACATTTTCATAATGAATCACTTCGGCTGGAAACGTTAACGAGACAAAGAGTTATGGTTTATAAAAGTAGTTTACCTGCTGAATCTCTCTTCATTATTTCTATTGTCAAACGCCTTGAAGTCGGATTTGCCCCCGGAGGGCAAACCCCAATCGTAAATCTGGATTGTCTTCGGTGGACAGGCAATTTTCCCATACTGTGACATGGTTCTTGCGCGTTTATGGTTGATTTGGATTTACGTTGACGTCTAATCGTGACGGCTTCTGCGGTGAGATTGTTGTGTTAACTGGCACGCTAGCGTAAAGCGTTCCAGTTGCCTGACTTCTACTGGAGCTGTCAGAATCACCTTACGGCTTTTTCTTATAAAGGCCGCTGAAGCTTCTGCACACATCAGCGCAGCAATCACCTTCTGAGCGCGCCATCCAATGGGTATGTAGTCAGTGCTACGGCAATCTCTGCAACTGGCGCACTGGAGTTTTAGCGTTTTGTTGATCGATTTTATAACCACTGCTTTGAATGATTCATAGTACATGGTTGTGGTGATTTAAAGCATTACATTTTGCAAGGCTGTAGAGTTTTTATTTGAAGTTAAGAAGTAAATATAGTACTTAAAGTAATTTGTTCCGCTTAGACAGATTCCCTAAATAAATACAGATGCACGAGAGGTACGTTACAGCAAACGGATCATGCAAAGTGAATTTTAAGAAACAATCCCACGAGGAAAATACAAAATGTGGTCGCGCCAAAACATTGCTACCATATGTGGTTTCGAAAATATCTGTTCTAAGCGATTTGGTACGATTCATCTAAAAGACATTTGACGGTGATTTCGGTGTGCTTGATGAGAAAAAATTCTACGAAAGAATTAAAAAATAAAGGAACACATTGCTGACTAGGCTCACCAAATCTATAACACTGCATGCGATTATTTTAAGCTATTTTTTCTACAGCTTCGACAAATTTCCAGGAAGTCCATAAAGAGCTTGTGTGAAACAGGCGATGAATAATAGATTTATAGTATACTTTGTTGGAACCCTTCTAATGCAATGAGTTTTAATGTAAGCCTCTTGTGATTCAAAGACATAAAGCCATTATCAAGAATTAAACATTTTAAAAATGTGTTACTCAAGTTATGCAATATTAATTTTTGGTCAAAGCCTGGATTTTAGTTAAATGATAGTCTCCTACATTAACTTTAACACGGCCTTAAATTTAGCGTGCCTTAATATTCCAGTATGATAGGTGAATGGGTATTTCTAGTCAGGGAATTTGTTCAAGCGGTATGCCGTGTGAGAGTCCATTCTTTAGTTACCAGTGAATGAGACGAAAGGGTAATGAAGGTTAGGTCATCTTTTATCCTAGTAGGTGACTTGAGTGGGCGTTTGGGACTAGGCATAATTGGGGCTACCACCAGACGTACGACGCATTCCTTACACACGTGTATTGTAAAAATTGATAAAGGGTTCCCTAATAATTGAAATTTTTTTTTACATTACTACTTGAACTTCAACATGTACCTGATCTTGGTAAATGAACGTGCTTAGCCCAATGATCAAATTTTACGAGTAAAGAATTAAACGCCTGGCTATGTCTTGCAAGATTTTGTTAGATGGATCAAACAAACATTTAGGTTACGAAAATGCGACAGAAAACTTTGATTTATCTATTGTGCAGTTACCTTCAGCATCTTCGGATCAAACTGCACAGACATTTTAGAAGCTTGCTTCTGAGGACATTAGCAAACACTGAAATCAGCCATTTTGCCTCAGCACTAAAACTCAATACTTTTCTTCTACATTCGATCTTAAACTTTTGAGCACATTCTGCTAAAACGTTTCAACCAGACAACTTTGGGTGCTCTTGAGCTGTCTCAACCTTAGCAACAACGAGCATTTAACGATTCTTAAAATAAAACGATTCATCAGGAGAAGCCTCCAAGTTTGTTAACTTTATCTCATCAGCCAATGGGTAAATGGAATTTAAATACTTGTTTTGGAACACGGGACCATTTTACCTCCTTCTGAGAGGCAAAGAAAATGGTAAACAGAGGAAATCTCACACGTATGATTATAGAATCAGAAGCAAGTAACAATCACAGATCACATTTTCGGTCAAAAAACTACACGACTCTTAAGGAAGTGCAATTTTTCGAGCTTCTCTGCCTTCGCAGTAGTACTCTCGAGCTGAGCACCTCCGCTTTTGGTCCAAAAAATCGTAAGGCGACTTCCAGCCCACACACAAGAATGCGCACGCGCGATAATCGATTGTGACGACACGTCTGTGTGCGAGTTTGAATTGCTGCGTCGTGTGCCTCTGGCGCCTGTCACCCTGTTAAGTGAGTTAGTCGAAGCCTAACGGCGGCAGTTGCACCATCTGTAGCAAACTGTAGGGTAATTAGAAGATGTTTGACAGTGTGTACGAATAAATTATCCTTATTTCATACAATCAAAGAAAAGAGCTGAGTGATGGACTTAACATTACAACAGCAGTCTCGGGGATGCAGTGAAAATCTCTTTCGGGGAAATCAGAGCATGGACCACGATCAGATAAGGAACTAAGAGGACTTTGCCATGTTAAGCTCATCAGGATATAACTCTAGTTTTTACTAATTTGTATATGCCAGATAAGACGTGCAATCTACCGCATTTCTGCCTGTTTTCTGATACCTTTTTAGTGACTGATGTCACTGCCACTAAAATAAATCCAATTTTCACGGTTTTGAACGTTTTGTTTGCAGTCTAAACACTTATCCCTGTATGGTGCATTTTCCTCTTGATGGTGCACTAATGAGTGATTCAAATTACGAAGAAAGCGCTGGTCTTGGTCCCGGATGGAGGTCTCGGCGCAGAGCAGCGGCACTGCGGTCGCCAAGAACTGACTTAATCATAGGAAGGAGTTATTTTTTTGGTTGGATTGCATGGGCCTCAGAAGTTGCTTAGGTGTTGAATTTCGGATTCACTGGACGTGACTCACAAAGGAATCTAATGGTTGCGATTGTAGCAAACCACATTTGAGTTAACCCACTGGGACAAAAAAGGATGTGCTTTTGGGTTCGAAATTCCATCGAAAGTTAAATCGAAACAAAACTGGAGCTAATGGTAAAAATGTGCAAATTGTTGCATGAATCAAAGCTCAAAGACGGTCAAGGGTGCAGTGGGGATTGAACTTGGTTCTTATGCTAATATTAGATGTAGTTTATCTCCACGCAATTACTTAGTTTTTGGGGATTGAAACGTTAGCTTTAAATAAAAAAGTTGGCTTTCTACCATTCCAATACTTCTTGCATTTATGTCAAACCAACTGCTTGATATGTCGTAATTGCGAGCCTGTCTCTATCCTTGTCTTAGAATTTCTTGAATTGATTTCACTAGCCATTAACCAAATGGCTGTTCTTATGATGTCTAGTTATTATCTTGGACTGAACTTCGGTTGTGTTAAAAATAACTTCACCTTCACTTAAATATCAGTAATGGTTTTACTAGACGTCTATTGAAGATTTTGTTAACTGCCATTTGTTTCATTGACTTATATGTGGCAACAACTAGAACACTTAACATCAGTCAAACCGAGGCGTTCGAAATTTGGTGCGCACTCTCTTGAGGGAGTAAGCGTGACTGAAAGGTTTCAAAAGACATCCAGTGTGATTCACATGTGTAGGCATAAGATCCGTATTACTGGTCGTCGGCCCTTTCTGTTATAAAAAATATTTATTGATTTTATGTTACGGTGATTCGTAGTTTGCGATGGCAGGTTTCCATATAAGGTATGCAAATCTACTTAGCTTATAAAGTAGCTCTTTTATTCAGTCGTCTATTCCATATTCTGGGGTGCATTTCACGGTGCTAAGCTCTTTGATTCGTATCGTCCAAAATCGCGTTAGCACTACATTTCAACATTAAAAGGACAGTTTTTGCTCAAAATTGGATGATTTAGCAATTATCAGTTTAAATTAAGGGATGAAAATTTTTTCTCTATCTCAATCTACCACGTTGGCTTCTTGTTACGTACTACGGAAATGGTATTTTTCTATTCTCGTAAAAATGAATAAGTGGATATAGTTATTGTTAAATTACCAGCTAATGTATGAAACTGTTGTGTGCAATTCCATTTTGCTATTTCTATATCAGTTTAACCACGTGTAGAGCCAATTATAGAAAAACGATTCCTGGTGTTTTTATCTTGGAGTTTTGGGGCTAGTCCTGAAAAGTTAACCAGAAGCCCCGATGTTGGACTGGGACATTCACCTCCGGGTTGAATCAACCCTAAGAAGGATAAGGAGGCCAACGATGTTGGAGACATGACCGTCTACTGGATTGCTAAAGCCTTTGTGTTGATCGAGTTTGTTCTTGAATACTTGCAGGTCGTGGGCGTGTATGGCAGTGCTCAATTGACAACCGTACGTAAGCATTATGCTAAGGGTGCGTGCACGCTGGTACACTGTAAAGCAGTTAGGCATAAACACAAGAAGGGTCGCCTATTCAGAAGGCTGGTAAAAAACTACAGTGGTAATTAGAGAATTTAGTCAACACACTGCATGAAGAGTTGCGATAGGTGTAAAATAACGTCCTTTA